ATGTATCTTTCTGAAGACAAAATTCGTATTGATTTATTGCGATATGGAGTTAAGTTTCGGGTTCTAGAGATACAGTGGCCCTGAATGAAATTCGCAATTGATATTGAAAAATGTTTATTTTTGTTATTTATCCATTTAAGTGTATTTTGTCGGAGTTGCGTCAGTCCTGAGCGATAAGCCAGTGCTTGCAGTCACACAGTTCTGAGTATGACAGTTTCGTGGTCTGGATTTGCATGTGGGTCCGTGTACAACACTGCGATCTCGATTCCATGAGATAAAAAAATAAGTATATCGTGGAGACCAGTAATACGGATTGATGTTGGTTTGATTTTATTCTGTTGAAATTAAAACTAAGAATATCGAGGTTTTTTTTAGAGTATCCATCTCATATTGACATATCTAAAAAAAGATAACGAAACTGTGATGAGATACTGGTTTTTAACTATGGATGCACCACAATGTTCTAAAATTAAACTCCAAAAAATTAACTCAAAATTTCCTACTTTTCGTTTGTCAAATGAGCCCACTTGTTCACTTGGCTCAAAAGCTTCCGAATTGAGAACCAGCGTAGATATCTACATCATCTCTAAGTAAATGTTGAATATTTTAATTTAGTACTGCGTACTTCATTTAAGAGAATTTTATATGTTCGCTATTTTGTAATATATCGTTACACATTTTCGGTAACGGTAAAAATATTTTTAAAAAAAGGGAAATGACATACTCGTGAAGGGGAGGGGGTAGAAAAAAAGAATAGTGTACTCATAATTGAGAAGAGCCATGCTCTGTTGGGAGCTATCAAGCCTTAATGAATGACTGAATGCTCGTTAATTAAAAACCGGGAATTTATTCGGTCGCCCTGCTCAGCACGGGCGGTTGCGGCGGTAAGCGATCTGCTCAGGGACAATGTTTCATCTAGATCGCGACGCTGGAGGCAGTCGCAGACCACACGTCTCGTTTCGCGGAACTTGCATCGTTCCTATCTTGCGATTGGTTGGTAACATATGGTCTCAAAGCAAATTATGGTCGTTAGTGGTAATGATGGTGATGAAATATTTCAAAGGCACAATGATACAAAACAATTTGTTTTGCCATTTTTTGTCAGGTTTTAACAGCTAACCGCTCTCTGGTATATCAATCGGATACATTAACTGTTAAACCCATGACACAGTTATTGCAATCGCTATAGAATTAATTACACCATTACGACACAATTCAAGATACAATGCAATGCAATGCATTGCATACCACTATACATTGGAATTCTTCTTCGCAATCCAAAAACCGGTACTCAGAGGGAATTGAGGGCACGATGAATCGTGTTCTGAAAACCGAGAGGAACTGCAATGTTCCGTTGGATTGGGGGAGTGGAAGCAGCCTTAAAGAATTCCGTGCGGTGCCACACGTCGCCCCGCTGCTCCATCGACCGGTGTGGGGCCGGCGCGGAGCGGGGAGGAGTGGAGAGGAGAGGGGTTGGGGGGGGTCGGGAGGACGAGCCGGTGGAGTTGTTGCGGAGATGGGACCAAGGGGAGCGGAGAGCAACGAGCGGGCGAGGAGTGAGATTCCACGGACGGACGACGGACGGGCAAAAACGTGTCGGAGTGTGGGGGCGGGGCGTTAGAGTGGCGCCATGGAGCGGACCGTCCCGGGACGGCGCGGGGCGAGGGTGCGTTAGCGAGAAATCGTCTTAACGTGGCAGAGCGAAGTGGATGCGAGAGAGAGCGGGGCTGGTTGTGGGTGGGAGCAAAGGAGAGGCGACAGCGGGTCAGGGTTGAGGTGGGAGTGAGGGAGGCGGCGGGTTGTGGGTGCGGGGAAAGGCGGCGGGGCGAGTGGAAAGCGCAGTGGAAAGCTGCAGCTGGAAAGCGCGCAGTGAAAGCGACCGCGTCGCTTTGGCGAGTTCGTTTCTTTCTCCGGGTCTTCCACATTGTTATTCATGTTGCATCATTCGAAAATCCATTTTACCTATGCATCAGTCGGGTTGTTGTGATCAATGTGTTTGTAGATTTTTAGCGGCCCATTAATATACCGTCATTCTTGCAGGTTCATATAAATTCTCTCTTTTGGGGAATATCGAATTAAAAAGCAAAAAACAAAACTCTTAAACGAAAGTTGTCGGTCAGTGTTGAACGAAAGTTACTGGTTTGCCGCGAGAATTGATCTGTGAATTATTGATAAGATTTATAGGCGCTTTCTTCCAGATTTCAGTTCTATATGATCTTAGATCGAGTTACAGAATATTGTGGGAAAGTGATGACATAATTTGTCATCGCCCTCAACGGATTTACTGTCGGTTCCATTAGTATCCTGTACGGATGCATACGTGCAGGCCCAGCGCATAATGTAGGTATGGGGGGTAGCTGTACTCACACGGAAATGCAGAGTAGGTAAATACCCTTTGGGAATTTGGTGTGAAATATTCCATAATCGTCAAATTCTAGAAATGAACGACGTTTCTCGGTATTGCGTCGACTCAATTTATCTACGTTGCAAAATTGGCCCAACAGTATTGCAATTTTACATTTTTATACCGACAAAATCGATTTAGAAAAGATATTAAATGAGTATATAAAAAATGCAAAGGTCAGCGCTGCTTTGGCATTGCAAAAATGAACTAATAAATAAATGTGATGACAATTTGAAAAAGATTTGTCTTGTAATTTGTCATTTTATATATTGGTGGAAGTATGGTTACAGCTGGTAATTTGTCATTATATATATATGTCATTATATATTGGTGGAAGGAGGGGGTCAGGGGACCCCCCCCCTCGGGTCAACTACCCTTTCGCACTTAACACCTATCTCCAGCTCTGCTGAGTGTGACTGCGGAATTTGACTGTTTACGATACGATTTATGGGTTCGTAAAATGCTTTATTAAAGGGAAGTATTATCAATTGATCTGGAAGTAATTTTCACTTTGAGGTACTATTATATTTCGAAGAAACCTTTGTGGCAAGGTTTTGATAAAAATTTCTTTGCATAATGTGCTTGCTTGTTTAATTGGCAATCTGAATGAAGTGAGACATCAACTGCATGACTGCAGACACGAACTGCAGCGTGCGGCGGAACAAGAGGATTAGCACCACTGAGCCAATTGTGCGGAAAACAAATGGGAACAAATCAGCTCGGCATCCACATCACAACCTAATTCTAGGAAGCTGCGTGCACGACCTGCTGTTAACTTCACAGAAACCGAAGGGTTCAAATATAACTTTTATTAGCATTTTTCGCTGAATTTATTATTGGACCAAAATAGTGTTCATTAACTATCACAGGTTTAATAAACGAGGACAAAGGTGGCGGAGATAGGGGAAGATGAAATCATATCAAATAGTGATGAATAATTTGGTATGGTGAATTTTAGCAATTGCTAAAAATGCAAAATGTTATCGAAAGTTGGAAAAATTGTAATTTAGGCCTATTCTGGAAAGACATAAAGGCGTATGTAGCATGCAGGCTTATGTGCCCTTCTTTCGGAATAGGCCCCATTTGTGTGTTTGACGGTCGGTGCAGTATATTTCTACAATAAAATGCGAAAACGATCGCAAAATGAGAAATCACGTATACAGTGCGAAATGGTCTATAATCTGCGAAATAATGGCTAAATTACATTTTATGGTTTCCTCAGTGTTCGCTCCGTAACTAGGGATGCGACATCAACAAATCGATGTTTGAAAACATTTGACAGTATCGGTGTTTATTAATTTATATTTAAAATTAAATTCAGTAAACAAAGTAAAAAAAAAATTATCCTGAAAGCCAATCCTGAGCGTCCTCTGTTCGCAGTGCGGAGAAGGTCACGGGAAAAAGGCCCTTCGCCAATGGCGCACGCACTACATTTCACGCACTACATCTCACGCTTCTATATTCTTTGAAGTTCACAAATAGCAAGATAATAAATTAAGTTTCCTTTATTTCCTGATTTGTTAATGGAAAAATCCAAAAAGCACATTTTTTTAAAAATCTTAGATCCCCTCCCTTAAAATGTTCTCATTTATGACTTCGTTTTGCAGACATGAAAATTGTATTATGTAATGAAAAATAGATCATGTGACAGAATGTTCACGAGACTGTCAATCAGTATCGCGGAGGTTTTTTATTTCTTTCTCTAAAGGAATGTCGAGAAATAAAAGAACTTTATATTTTGGACCATATAGCTAGCAATTTTTTTAAATGTTCTATTATGCATAGTTATTAATAGTGGTAACCACAGAATATTTCCAAGAAATATAAGGCTCTTCTTTTTTACGACGATACGTAGTAATCGAATTACACGGTCATTTCAAGGACAAGCGAATTTTTTCCATAGTGTTATCTTTGTAATCCGAATGTGCTACTACTCTTACATGAATTAGTTTGTCTCCGATGTCTAGCAGTCGTTGAGAATTTTTAAGTTGTGTGAGTAGCATACTGAGAAGGGTTTTGGCATTAGCCACACGCTACAGCTACAGCGATGGGCCGTCTTCACAAACGTATTGATTTTAAAATATTTTTCGTAAGTAATATTGTTTGTATCTTAATGCTTAATTTGGGTATCGAACTCGGATTACTGTTTCATAATTTCTACGAATAATCTCAACAACATTGTAAAAAACAAAAAAATTGTAAAGATAAACGGTGAACTATAGAGTTAAAAGAGCAACACATTTGCAAACCTATCAGAAAAAATAATCTCGTAACTTTTGTAAGTGAAAAAGTACTTAGCAAGGTAGTAGCAACAAAAAATACTACTTACCCATCATATCATTCATACGATTATACTACCAGTATATTTCAGCAAGGTTTTGAGAAGTGTTCATTGTTAATCCATGGAAAATAGTATGAGGGTGTTAACGTACAGTTTGAGTGTGTCTTAAACAGATAAGGTGCCGGTCACTTACCGGGCTTCCAAACGCCCTTGCTTTTACTGATGTAATCTTTTTGCTGAAGTGCACATTATGATGCTAGGACTTCTTCAACCAAGCAATGCTTTGCACTAATTTTAAACGATCTCTTGTTTCAGTAAACCTGAATGGCGCCGGGAGAGTGGACATGTCCCACTTCGAGCTTCTCAAGGTCCTGGGCACAGGAGGTGAGTTAGTGGTAGCTGCTTTCAAAATATTTTTTTAAAAAGTTTTTCCGTTTTCACGGTAAGTGAATATCGGTAGGCATTTTCAAAGTAATTTAGCGATTTTGTCCTGCGCGAATTTTATAATGTGCAATTTTTTTTTTCTCGTTTCCAAAGCGAATAAATTTATCGAAACTGAAGTACATAGAAATGTGAGTTCAGTTATTACACATTACTCTGTATGCAAGTATCTACATTCCTTAATGAATACCCCTGCGTGTCGCTTATCATGAGCAAAGAGACTTGATCGGGCCCTTAGCTTTAGAACCTCGTGTCGTGTACGTTCTTTCTTTGCGTAAGAATGAGTCTTCATTACACTACAGGTAAATAAGTAGATGATAGAAATTATTACAGGTCAGGGCTAGAAATTTCCATTAACACAATAAGAAATCGTGAAAAGAGTAATAAACTTAAGAGTAACTGGATTTGAAGTTAACTTCCTTTTTACTTTCCTGTATATGTGCATATATACGGAGTAATGTGCGTAGTATAAGGAAAGTTATGTAATACTGCGGAAAATCGATTTCGACAAAAATGCGTTTTGGGGTTTCCTGATATCGAAAGATTATTTTTTTAAACGTCCGTCAGTTCGTCCGTCAGTTCGTCCGTCAGTTCGTCCGTCCGTCAGTTCGTCCGTCCGTCAGTTCGTCCGTCCGTCAGTGTCGTGCCCGTCGTGCGTTCGGCTGCCGCGTCCGTCAAGTTTTCGTCCGTTCCGTCAGTTCGTGCCGTCGTCACGTTCGCACGTCGTCCAGTTCGTCCGTCGTCCGTTCCGTCCGTCTCGTCAGTTCGTCCCGTCCGTCCCAGTTCGTGTCCGGTCGTCAGTTCGTCCGTCCGTCAGTTCGTCCGTGCCGTCCAGTTTCGTACCGTCGTCCAGTTCAGTCCCGTCCGTCAGTTCGTCCGTCCGTCAGTTTCGTTCCGTCGTCAGTTCGTCCCGTCCGTTCAGTTCGTCCGGTCCGTCCGATCAGTCGTCCGTCCGTCGTCAGTTCGTCCGTGCCGTCCCGTCAGTTCGTTCCCCGTCCCGGTGCCGTCAGTTCGTTCGTCGTGCCGTTCGTCAGTTCGTCCGTCCGTCGTCCGTACAGTTCGGTCCCGTCCGTCCGTTCCGTCAGTTTCGTCCGTCCGTCGTCCGTCAGTTCGTCCGTCCCGTCCGTCCGTCAGTTTCCGTCCGTCCGTCAGTTCGTTCCGTCCGTCCGTCCGTCAGTTCGTCCGTCGTCCGTCGTCAGTTCGTCCCGGTCCGTCCCGTCCGTCAGTTCGTCCGTCCGTCCGTCCGTGCAGTTCGTCCGTCCGTTCGTCCGTCAAGTTCGGTCGTCCGTCCGTCCGTCAGTTCCCCCCGGGTTCCCGTCGTCCGTCCGTCAGTTCGTCCGATCCGTCCGTCGTCTAGTTTCGTCCGTCCGTTCCGTCCGTCAGTGTCGTCCGTTCGCGTTCCGTCCGTCAGTTCGTCCGTCCGTCCGTCCAGTCAGTTTCGCCGTGCCGTCCGTCCGTCAAGTTCGTTCCGTCCGTCGTCCGTCAGTTTTCGTCCCGTCGTCCGTCCGTCCGTTCCGTCATGTTCGTCCCGTCGTCGTCCGTCAGTTCGTCCGTCCGTCCGTCCATGTCAGTTCGTCCGTCGTCCGTCCGTCAGTTTCGTCCGTTTCCGTCGTCGTCAGTTCGTCGTCGTGCCGTCCGTCCAGTTTCGTCCGTCCGTCCGTCCGTCAGTTCGTCGTCTGTCCGTCCGTCGTTCGTCGTGTAAGTTCGTTCGTCGTCGTCGTCCGTCCGTCAGTTCGTCTCCGTCCGTTCGCCGTCCGTTCAGTTCGTCGTCCGTCAGTCGTCGCGTCCGTCAGTTTCGTCCGTCCGTCATTCGTCCGTCATTCTCGTCCGTCAGCGTCCGTCCGTCAGTTCGTCCGTCTTCCGTCCCAGTCTCGTCGCCGTCGGTCCGAGTTCGTCCGTCCGTCAGTCTCAGCGTCGTCCGTCTCGTCAGTTGCGTCCGTCCGTCCGTCGTCAGTTCGTCCCGTCCGTCCGTCGTCAGTTTCGTCGTCGTGTCCGTCAGTTCGTCCGGCGTCCTCGATCCGTCAGTTTGTCCGTCCGTCCGGTCAGTTCGCCCGTCCGTCCGTCCGTCGTTCGTCCCGTCCGTCCGTCCGTCCAGTTCGTCCGTCGTCCGCGTAGTCGTCCGCCGCAAGTTCGTCCGTCCGTCCGTCGCGTTCAGTTCGTCGTCCGTCCGCTCGTTTCGTCCGTCCGTCCGTCCGTCAGTTCGCGTCGCCGTCCCGTCAGTTCGGTCCGTCCGTCCGTCCGTCAGTCGTCGTCCGTCCCGTGTCGCGTCCGTCACGTACGTCCGTCGCGTACCGTCCGTTCCTGTCAGTTCGTCCGTCCGTCCGTCCGTCAGTTTCGTCGTCCGTACCGTCCGTCCAGTTCGTCCGTCCGTTCCCGTCCTCAGTTCGTCCGTTCCGTCGTCTCGTCAGTTTCGTCCGTCCGTCCGTCGTCAGTTCGTCCGTCCGTCGTCCGTCCTCAGTTTCGTCCGTTCCGTCCGTCGTCAGTCCCCTCGGCAGTTTCCGTCCGTCCGTCCGTCAGTTCGTCGTCCGTTCCTCGTCGTCCCGTCCGATCCGTCAGTTCGTCCGTCCGTCCGTCCGTCAGTTCGTCCGGTCCCCGTCCGTCGTCGTCCGTCCCCGTAGTTCGCCGTCGTCGTCCGTCTCGTCCGTTCCGTGTAGTTCGTCGCCGCGTCCGTCGTCGTCGCTCTTTATTCGTCGTCGTCGTCCGTCAGTCCCGTCCGTCCGTTCGTATGTCGGCCATCGTCAGTCGTCCCCGGTCCGTCGGTCGTCGCGATCCGTCCGCTAGTTCGTCGTCCTCGTTCTCAGTCGCCGTCCGTCCGCAGTTCGTCCGTCCCGTCCGTCAGTGTCGTCGCGCGCGTGCATCAGCGTCCGCGTTTCCGCCGTCCGTCAGTTCGTCGTCCGTCCGTGCCGTTCTCGCCCCGTCGTCCGCTTCGTCCGTCCGTCCGTCAGTTCGTCCGTCCTCGTCCGTCCGTCAGTTCGTCCGTCGTCGCGGTCGTTCGTCGTCCGTCCGTCCGTCCGTTCGCTCGTCGTCATTCGTCCGTCGCGTTCGTCGTCGCGTCCGTCTCAGTTTCGTCCGTCCCGTCCGTTCCGTCAGTCGTCTCAGTGTCGTCGTCCGTCGTCCGTCAGTTCTCGGCATTCGCGTCTCAGTCGTCGCCGTCATTTCGTCCGTCAGTTCGTCCGGTCTCGTCCGTCCGTCAAGTTCGTGTCCGTCGTTCGTCCGTCCGTCAGTTGTCGTCCGTCGTCGTCAGTCGTCGTGCAAGCGTCCGTCCGTCAGTTCGTCCGTCGCAGTCGTCCGTCCGTCAAGTTCGTCCGTCGTCAGTTTCGTCGCCGTTCAGTTCGTCCGTCCGTCAGTTCGTCCGTCCGGTCAGTTCGTCCGTGCCGTCAGTTCGTCCGTCCGTCAGTTCGTCCCGTGCCGTCAGTTCGTCCGTCCGTTGCAGTTCGTCGGTCCGTCAGTTCGTCCGTCCTCAGTTCCGTCTCCGTCAGTTTCGTCCGTCCGTCAGTTTCGTGCCGTCCGTCAGTTCGTCCGTCCGTCAGTTCGTCCGTCCTGGTCAGTTCGTCCCGTCCGTCAGTTCGTCGTCCGTCAGTTCGTCGTCACGTCAGTTTCGTCCGTCCGTCAGTTCGTCCGTCGTCAGTTCGTACCGTCCGTCCAGTCGTCCGTCCGTCAGTTCGTCGTCCGTCAGTTCGTCCGTCCCGTCCAAGTTCGTCCGTCCGTCAGTTCGTTTCCGTCCGTCAGTTTCGTCGTCGTCATTCGTCCCGTTCCGTCAGTTTCGGTCGTCCGTAGTTCGTCCGTGCCTCAGTTCGTCCGTCCGTCAGTCGTCGTCCGTCAGTTCCGTCCGTCCGTCAGTTCGTCTCGTCCGTCAGTTTCGTCCGTCCGTCAGTTCGTCCGTCCGTCAGTTCGTCCGTCCGTCAGTTCGTCCGTCCGTCAGTTGTCGTCCGTCAGTCGTCCGTTCCGTCAGTTCGTCCGTCCTTAGTTCCCGTCCGTCCGTCCGTCGTCCGTCGCGTCAGTTCGTCCGTCGTCCGTCGTACCCGTCCGTCCGTCGCAGTTCTGCCGTCCCGTCCGTCAGTTCGTCCTCTCGGTCGTCAGTTCGTCCCGTCCGTCCGCAGTTCGTCCGTCCGTCCGTCCTCAGTTCGTCCGTCCGTCCGTCCGTCAGTTCGTCCGTCCGTCGTTCCGTCAGTTCTCAGCTTCCGTCAGTCGTCCGGGTCCGTCCGTCAGTTCGTCCGTCTCCCCGCAGTTCGTCGTCCGTCAGTTCGTCCGTCCGTCAGTCGTCCGTTCGTCCGTCGTCCGTCGCCAAGTTCGTTCCGCATCCAGTCGCAAGTTCGTCCGTCCGTCCGTCCGTCAGTTCGTTCCGTCCGTCCGTCCGTCAGTTCGTCCGTCCGTCCGTCCGTCAGTTTCCGTCCGCCGTCCGTCGCTCCCCCGCTCCGTCCGGCAGTTCGTCCGTCCGTCCGTCCGTCAGTCGTCCGTCCGTCCGTCCGTCGTTCGTCCGTCCGTCCCGTCCGTCATTGTCGTCCCGTCCGTCTCAGCGTCCGTCCGTCGTGTCAGCTCCGTCGCGTCCGTCCGTCAGTTCGTACCGTAGTTCGCGTCCGTCCGTCAGTTCGTCCCCGCGTCGTTCGTAGTCCGTCCCTCTCTTTTCGATCGTCAGTTCCGTCCGTCAGATTCGTCCGTCAGTTTCGTCCGTTCGTCAGTTCGTCCTCAGTTCGTCCTGTCGTCGTTCCGTCGCTCAGTTCTCCGTCCCGTCCGTCAGTTTTCGTCCGCGTTCGTCGTCACGTCCGCCAGTTCGTCAGACAGTTCCGTGCCGCGTGTCCGTCCGTGTTGCCGTCATTCGTGCCGTCCGTCCATTTCGTCCCGTCCGTCCCGTCATTCCGCTCCCGTCCGCTCGTGTCCGTTCCTCCGTCCGTCAGTTTCGTCCGTGCAGCGTCGTCCGTTCCGTCAGTCTCGTCGTCGTCGCG